ATGGGAGAAAATTGAAATGCGCCTGTTTTGGACGAAAGACATTATAAACACTCCCAAACACTGAATTACAAGTGGTTTAGACACACTGAACATGAAAATGGTGTCTGTGACCCCTGTTTATGCCCTGAGGTCATCTTAGGTCACGAATGGTATCTAACAGTTTTTCGCAAATAACTTTTGATAGAGGCATGCTAGAGCGATGAAAACGCCTTAGATGTGTTCAGCTCGACGATACGGATCGACTGATATGCAACATGACCCTTTCCGGTCAGGTCATGACCTTGACCTGAGGTCAAATTTTCAAGTTGACCTTTCAAGGTCAAATTATAGTTCGTTCGATGCGTCTTGACGAGAGGAACACGATGCCGGTAAAAGTAAGCTCGTACAATGCTTGGGTCAAAAGTTATTGCAGAAAAACTGTTTCCGAAAAAATCGGCTATTTTTGCAGTTTTTGCCCCTGCAGGCAAAACCGTTGACGTTAGGTCAAATCTGAGAGGAATACTCAGAAAGGGCGTTAATAGGGCTATCGAATGCGCTTTTCCGCGGCGCTGTAGCTCTATTGGTTCCCGAGTTATGCGTTGGCTTCTTGGAAATTTTCGACATTCGACCTGGAAATCGGCGAAAATTTGCCTTCAATGACCTCTGGTGACCTGACCTTTGACCTGACCAAAAAATTGACGGAAGTGATTTCCTCATTATTTTTGACGCTCTTTCGAACGCCGCCTTCCGCGTATCGCTACGTGGCCCAGGAGCCGAGTTAGAAGGGGGGGTGTTCAAACACCCCCCCCCCAGCAGGGCGTGGAAATCCAGGACCCCCAGCCGGGCGCGGGTTAACCTGACCTTGACCTGAACTTTACCTGACCTTCACCAAAACATAATCTCAACTGACCCCAAGGGCTGCCTGTCCCACATAATCGCATTTGGCATATAAAATGGACCATAAAACATGCATCACATGACATTTTTATTTTGTGACCCTCAGTGACCTGACCTCTGTGACCTGACCTGGTATCACTGACCTCAAATAACAAAATGTGTTTGACAAACATTTCCCCATCAATGGTTTTCAATGAAATGCATTTTACTCGATTTTACAACGCATTTCTTAAAATGCCTGTAAACGGTGAAAATTCGACCTTTGACCTGACCTGTGACGTCATCGGTTTGACCGAGGTCAATGGAATTGGGTCACAAGGTATTTCCCCGTTAGGGCTATCCAACGCCGTTTGCCGCTTGTCGCTATGTTGCGTGGTTCTCGAGATCTTAGGGGGGGGGGGCAAAATGGCCCCCCATCAGACCGCGTAGCTCGGCAGACCCCATCAGGGCGCGGGTTAACCCACTCCCTGCTGGGGAAGGGGGTGTTTGAAGAAGTTTGAACACCCCCCTCCCTTGCGGTTTTTCGCGAATATCTTAAAAACAGCGGCGCGAAGCGCTGGCACACCTTTTCATTCATCTTTTCTACATATGTTGTGAGAATTTCAGACCCAGGTCACTTAACCCGCGCCCCGCTGGGCTATTCAGCCATACGCGCCCTGCTGGGAGGGGGCAGATTCTGCCCCCCCCCCCCCTGTCTAACTTCCGAACCGATGGTCGTAGAAAGACGGGGAAAACGGCAATCGAAAGCTCTCAACAAGGCGGATCTTAAGAGCCCAAATTTTTTTGCTTAAGTAGGTCAGAGGTCAGGTCAAGGTCAGGTCAAGGGTACAAAATGCAAGTTTCTACAGTATCGGCCTTGCACCGTAGTTGCCGAAGAATGGACTGAGACTGATTGCCCAAAACGTGTTCTTAGACTACCAAGACAATATTCGTTGCATACAATGTCATTCAAAGGTCAAGGTCAAGGTCAGGTCAGGTCAGGTCAGGTCACCAAAAACAAAATATAGAAAAGGGCATGTGCGACACATGTTTATATGGGTCATTTTACTCATAGAATTCAATAGGCACACTCAATAAGTGATATGGACCACCTCTGGATGAATTTCAGGTCGAGGTCAGGTCAAGGTCAGGTCAAGTGAGGTCAAATTTTGAAGTTGGTTGTTAAGGCCTAAAAAGGTGTCTATCTGATGCAGTTTTTCACGGCGAAATCGAATGGTGCTATTTTTGTTTCCGTACGAGGTCTAGAACTTCCAAAAAAGTCATTTTTCAAAAATTTTGTGTGTCGTGACGTCATAAAATTTTGAATAACTCCCACATTTTTGAACCGATTCTTCTAAAAATTGGTATGTAGGTGCACATAGACCACTTCTCTGACATATATTCCGGTTTTTTTCGATACACTTAAAATTTTGGATTTTATAATTATTTTCCCAAAAAAGTCAGTTTTTTAGAAAAAAATTGGGCCAAAATCCAAAATTTCAAAAAACCGAGATAGCCATTTGATAGACAAAGTAGAATCACGTATAACTTTTTTGTTACCGTCTTGATTCCTTTAAATATGAAGATGTTAGCGGCGTTTGAAATTTTGCCGTTTTTAGGCGAAAATGGCGAACATGACGTCACTAAAACGTCAATTTCTCAAAAATCTTCCGACAGATTTCGCTCAAATTTTCAGGGCACGTGTCAAATTGATGTATGATAAGGTACTGAAAGTTTGACGTCGCTAGCGTAACGCGTTTGGAAGTTATTGGCGAAAAACGGGAGGGTGGCAGATTCTGCCCCCCAGCGGGGCGCGGGTTAAGGTCAGGTCACCAGGTCAGTTCAAGTGACCTCACTACATAAAAGTTTCAATGTCTACCAAAGCTACACCGAGTGACCGATCGCTTTGAAACTTTCAGGGATTCATAAGAGCAGTAATGTAAAATGTTTATCTTGGAGTTTTGATATCGATGACCTAAGATCAGGTCAATTTTGCGACCTCGCCGTTAGGAAGTCAATGGGAGAAAATTGAAAGTCGCCTTTTTTAGACGGAATTCATTATAAACACTCTAAAACACTGAATTACTAGTATCTTTGACACACTGACACTGAGCATGAAAATGGCACCGGTGATCCCGTTCTTATGCCCCTGAGTCACCTCAGGTCACCAATGGTATCTGATTGTTTTTCTCGAATAACTTTTGATAGGCATGCTAGAGCGATAAAAACGTCCTAATTGTGTTTGGCTCGACGATACGGATCGACTGATATGCAACTTGACCCTTACCGGTCAGGAATTATGACCTTGACCAATTGACCTTTCAAGGTCAAATGATAGTCTATTCGACGCGTCTTGACGAGAGGAACACGATGCTGGTAAAAGAAAGTTCGTGCAAGGTTTGAGTCAAAAGTTATTGCAGAAAAAAAAAAACGGTTTCCGAAAAATTGGCTATTTTGGCAGTTTTTGCCGCCTGCAGGTAAAACCGTCAACGGTAGGTCAAATCTGATGGGACTAATCAGAAAGAGCGTTAATAGGGCTATCAAATACGTTTTTCCGCGGCGCTATAGCTTTATTAGCCCGCGCCCTGCTGGGGGGGGGGTGTTTGAACACCCCCCCTTGTGGTTTTTCGCGAATATCTCAAAAACCGGCGGCGCGGAGCGCCGCCGTTTTTGGTACACCTTATCATACATCAATTCTACACATGTTGTGAAAATTTCAGACCAAGGTCATTCAAGGTCAGGTCACCAGGTCACTTGAAGTGACCTCACCTCATAAAAACTTTCAATGTCTGTCATAGCTACACCGAGTGACCGATCGCTTTGAAAGTTTCAGCGATTGCTGAGAGCAATAGCATGTACAAAATGTATATCTCAGAATTTTGATATCGATGACCTAAGGTTAGGTAAATTTTGCGACCTCCCCATTATAAGTCAATGGGAGAAAATTGAAATGCGCCTCCTTTGGATGGAAGACATTATAAACACTCCCAAACACCGAATTACAAGTGGTTTAGACACACTGAACTTGAAAATGGTGTCCGTGACCCTTGTTTATGCCCTGAGGTCATCTTAGGTCACGAATGGTATCTAACAGTTTTTCGCAAATAACTTTTGATAGAGGCATGCTAGAGCGATGAAAACGCCTTAGATGTGTTCAGCTCGACGATACGGATCGACTGATATGCAACATGACCCTTTCCGGTCAGGTCATGACCTTGACCTGAGGTCAAATTTTCAAGTTGACCTTTCAAGGTCAAGTCATAGTTCATTCAATGCGTCTTGACGAGAGGAACACGATGCCGGTAAAAGTAAGCTCGTACAAGGCATGGGTCAAAAGTTATTGCAGAAAAACTGTTTTCGAAAAAATCGGCTATTTTTGCAGTTTTTGCCCCCTGCAGGCAAAACCGTTGACGTTAGGTCAAATCTGAGAGAATTACTCAGAAAGGGCGTTAATAGGGCTATCGAATGCGCTTTTTCGCGGCGCTGTAGCTCTATTGGTTCCCGAGTTATGCGTTGGCTTCTTGGAAATTTTCGACATTCGACCTGGAAATCGGCGAAATTTTGCCTTCAATGACCTCTGGTGACCTGACCTTTGACCTGACCAAAAAATTGACCGAAGTGATTTCGTCATTATTTTTGACGCTCTTTCGAACGCCGCCTTCTGCGTATCGCTACGTGGCCCAGGAGCCGAGTTACAAGGGGGGGTGTTCAAACACCCCCCCCCCCAGCAGGGCGTGGAAATCCAGGACCCCCAGCAGGGCGCGGGTTAGTTTTCGAGCTGTGCGTCTATTTGTTGAAAATGGTCGACATCTGACCTACAAATCGACGAATTTTGGCCTTCCTTGACCTCTGGTGACCTGACCTTTGACCTGACCCAAAAAATGTCTGTTGTGATTTATCCCTTATTTTTGACGCTCTTTCGAACACCGCTTTTCCTGTACAGCTACGTGGCCCAGGAGCCGAGTTAAAAGGGTGGTGTTTAAACATCCCCCCCCCCCCAGCAGGGCGTGGAAATCCAGGACCCCCAGCGGGGCGTGGGTTAACGTGAATACAATGTAACATGAGTGCACTAATATAATTTCTGACCAGCTTCTGGCATTGTTTCAGGGCGTATAATTTCTGACCAGCTTCTGGCATTGTTTCAGGGCGGAGTGCGCTCCTATACCAGGGTTTCGCAAACCAGCCGGCCCTGAGGGCCTCACTCGGTTCGGCCTGGTGAGTTGTAACCTGGACAGTGGACACATTGTCGGCAGGCAGTGCAGGCAGTGCTGAACGCTACAACATCTTTGAAAGCGACACAATTCCCGGAAAACTGGTCGCAATATGAACAAGATGCGCTTCACTTAACCCATCATTCAAGCAGGGATCGAACTATATCTCTTTGGAAGTGCCTGGTTACCTCCATGTTCCACAGAGCGCCACAAAAAGGACCGGAGCCCCCTTCCCCAAGGAAGGGTGGCCCTCTAAAAACAAGAATATTCCGAGACCCCAGGGTCCGATGGCGCCCCTGAAGAGCGGCTGGCACCCAGTAGCGGCGGAGCGCCTTCAATTAAGGGTGAGGGGGGGGGGGCACTGCCGACTTTTGGTCCCATTCTTTCCATGCAACGCCCATACGGCTAATGTTAAGATGCCAAAATCAAAGGGGGGCACGGTGCCCCGGTGCTCTCCCCGTTCGGCCGCCTATGCTGGCACCCACCGAACGGAACAGTCGCCCAATTCACCCGCGCCCTGCCGGGGGGGGGGGGGTGTTTGAACACCCCTACCCCTGTGGTTTTTCGCGAATATCTCAGAAATGGAGGCGCGTAGTGCCACCGTTTCTGGCACACCTTATCACTCATCAATTCTACACATGTTGTGAAAATTTCAGACCAATGTCGTTCAAGGTCAGGTCACCAGGTCACTTGAAGTGACCTCACCTCATAAAAAGTTTTACTATATGCCATTGCTACACCGAGTGACCGATCGCTTTAAAGGGACCCTCCCACCTTCAAAAAAGTTAATGAATTGGCATGAAAGTGATGTCGCTCGGTTCAGAAAGAGCAAAAACGATTATCTACCAAATTTCATCGAAAAATATTCATCGGTTTTCAAGATATTAGACTTTTGCTTTTGTTTACTTTTTGGGATCTCCACTGTTCCCAGCGACTGTATTTGAAAGTGCGGCATTTGTTGCGCGCAAAGCAGCATATACCACCGCGTGCTACAAAACGTTTTAGTCAAACATTTAAAAATCTTTAGATATCTGCGCTGACGTCACACATTCAGAGGGGTATTCCTATGCATTAGCCCCTCTGAATCAAAATGCTGCAATTTTGAAATTCAATATTTCCGATTTAAGGCATTTCTCGATGTTGTGAGTGCCGAAACCGGTAATTGTGAGCCAGGGACCCCATTTTGGCTATCTCAACTCAAATCTAATGTTAAGGTGGGAGGGTCCCTTTAAAGGAAAAGGGCCACCTTCGTGAAATATGAAGATATCGTTGTTTTTCATTTTGACATTATTATTTTTCATTTTCTTTTTAAAACTGGTGCCAGAAGTGCACAATTCGCGAAAAAGTATTTAAAACTATTTAACATATTGGTACTATGTTGATACTCTCTACGGCACCTACTGTATGATGGCATAGCGATGACGTCACACTCAAGCCAATCAGCGTTCAGAAGACAGACTCGTCGGATTGTGTCAGATAAGCTGATTGGTTAAAGCTGAGCTGGTTGGAGCTGATTGGTAAAAAACCAAAGCCTCGCCGCGGGTGGCTGTATTGTCGGATAAGAACGCATTCCTTGGATAAGGACGCATTCCTGGCGTATTTTCTTTTAAAATTGCCGATAACTACGAATGGAGGCCGAAATCGGCCGTAAGGAGGTAAACAGGTAGGTTTTCGGACACGGGCTACAAGATCTGGCTATCTCAGTTTCAATCCCCATGTTAAAGGTGGCCCTTTTCCTTTAAAGCTTTCAGCGATTGCTCAGAGCCATAGTATGTACAAAATGAATGTCTCAGAACTTTGATATCGATGACCTAAGGTCAGGTCAATTTTGCGACCTCCCCATCATAACCCTCGCCGGACCTATTGGTTTTCTACATACGCGCCGGCCAAGGGGGGGGGGGGGGTACGATCAGGTCAGCGCCCCAGGTCACGAACTTGGGCGAAGTAGGTCATGGCGCATATCATTCGATTCGGAAGGTCTTTCCGAGTTCATTGGTGGTTTTCCCGACTCGCTAGCGCAATTTGACAGGGAGTTATTGACAAAATACTATTATGACCCTAATGACGTCATAAATGACGTAACGCAAGTTCAACATTGCAAAAGTGACGCATGTACCCTTGCAAGGAGTGCATCAAATCATGATTCTGTGTGCTTGAGATAGTTGGAGATCCTTCCCTGCGCCAGAATAGCAGTTTTCATTTTTCCTCATTGACCTATAATGGTAAGGTCACGAAAATGACCTGACCTCATATGACATTTAGGAAAAATCTGAGATATACAAGCTGTGAGACTCGTAATGGATATTAGATCCTGCAAATTTCATTTCCCTGTGAAAGCTCCCGTGAAACTTATGACGTCATAGGTTAGTGACCTGACCTGATCCGAAAATGCAATTGGTGTCAAATGATCCGGCTTGAATCAAAGGTCAGGTATGCCAAGTTTCAGCTCTCTATCCCCAGCGTGTTTGGAGCTATCGCGAACCCCACTCGGCCGGCGAGGGATAAGTCAATGGGAGAAAACTGAAATGCGCCTCTTTTGGACGAAAGCCATTATAAACACAGTCCCAACCACTGAATTACTAGTAACTTGGACTGAATATGAAAATGGTGTCCGTGGCCCCTGTTAATCCCGCGCCCCACTGGGGTCTGTGTATAACGCGCCTTACTGGGGGGGGGGGCTATTCATAGCCCCCCTCCTAACTCCGAAACTACTGGGCCGATCGTCAAAATTTAAACGGCATCTGATAGCCCCCGATAAAACTGTCGAACGAAACTTAATGTCATTGACCTCGAGATCACCAATGACGTCACAGGTCAGGTCAAAGTAAAAATTATCGATGTTCGGCTTGTTAACATTTTGGGCTCTGGATGCCGTCTTACAAGTCAGATCAGGCTGATTTTTGGTTTACACACTCGTGAACAGATGCTTTAGATACCCTGAGGGTACCAAACTTGTACTTTGATTTTCAGGTCAGGGTCAGGTCATCACAGATCACGGAAATCCTATATCATAAGTCGGTCACGTGACACATATTGTGTGGTCAATTTAGCCCATAGATTTCGAATTCATTGTCGCCTGTGTCATTTGAGGCCATTTCATCTGAATATAGCTGAGTGATGCCCCCTCTAGGAGCGCTAGGCAATAACTTACCGGCCGCACAGACTCGTAACTGGGTAGCATCATGCGCACAGCCATGCTACACACGCTGAAACTTATCTCATCGGTTAGCCGCCATTACACACTTCTCAAGCTTCGATCACGTCGACGCTTACTTGTGTTGCGAAAACGCAACGAAGGGCGTAAATAAGTTATTAATTAATTAATTAAAACGTTTGACGCACCCTGTAAAGAAACTTTTAGGACACCCTGTAAGCGCGTAGTAGTACTTTTGTCATGTCAAATAATTCATCTTTGCTGCGCCGAAATGGTTGCAGACAGAGTAGGGAGTGCGTTGCTGCAGCCGTTTGCACCTGCTTGTCAGCCATTTGCACCTACCTGCAGACCGTGATCCGAGAGATGAATCGACTCGGCATGCTGGTCGACCTGTCGCACGTCTCCGAGCTGGCCATGCGGCGTGCACTCGAACAGAGCGAGGCACCGGTTATCTTCTCCCACTCGTCGGCGCAGGCGCTCTGCAACTCCAGCCGCAATGTCCCTGACCATCTCCTGAAAAAACTGGTAAGTGCCTGACTTTATCTTTAGCACGCGGTCTCCATTTTGGTGTTAACACCCCCCTCCCACTCGTGGCGTTTCGCAAATATCTCAACAAAACAGCGGCACGGAGCGCCGTTGTTTTGGAACATGGTGTGGAAGTTTCTGACTAAGGTTCTAAACCCTCGCCTGTGTTGGTGTTTTGCCAGCCTCGATCGTAAAAGGGGGCTCAGTTGACCCCCCCCCCTGCCGTTTGGCCCCTGATCGAGCTAGAGCTTCGCGGAAGAAACGAGCGTTTTGCCCGTGACGAAAGGAAACAAATGACTCCAATTTTAAGGACCTAGGTCATTTGTTGACTTCCACAGGTCAGTTCAGTCACTGGCGGATCCAGGCTTGCGTTTGGGGGGGGGGGGGCAACTCATGCAGGAGCCAAACCTAGGGTACCCCCAAATCCTGTTTTCTCATCGGATTTAGGCCACTTATTTTTCGTCACAGCCCTGACACAATGATTTTTTTTAACTAAAAAAATATATAAATGGTAGCCCACCCGACCCATGCCTTTATATTACTTTGTAAACACTTACCATTGCTTTTGTCGACCAGTTAACCCGCTTCGAGTCAGTGCTTGGGTCCCTTTTCCCTTTGCGGGCCGGGAGGTGGTAAAACACCCCCTGTCTAACTCGGCTCCTGGGCTACGCACTGATTGAACTATGTTTTATTATCGTTTGGGGGAGGGGGCAAACGGGCCACTTTAGGCCTCTGGGAAGGGGCATGGCCCTAAATGCCCCCTCCCTGGATCCGCCAGTGTAAGAGACCATTGGAGCTGCAGTTGGGTACCTCAGACGTCAGGGTACGCCCTCAGATGTATAGGACTCGCATGGAGACTTCTTATGCTATAGTGGACTGAAAGGACCCAAAGGAGCCTGTCTAGGGCTCCCGGAGATAGACGTGGGCCCTCAGGAGCCCGCCAGAGCCCCCAATGAGGGATAAGTGAGGGATACCAAGTGCCTGCAATTGCATATTGCATAAGCCATAACGCCTTTACAAATAAATATATTATGTATCAGTGGCAGATCCAAGGGGGCCACATGGGTCATGACCCCCCTTGGTGCCCGGGGCACCACAGGCCTGTCAGGGGCACCACCGGCCTAGCAGGGGCACCACCAGTCCGCCAGGGGCACCACAGGCCTAGCAAGGGCACCACGGGCCTGTGAGGGGCCCCACAGGCTTGTCAGGAGCATCCCAGGTCTGTCAGGGACACCAGAGACCTGCCAGGGGCGCCGCCGGCCTCGCAGGGGCACCATGGGCCTGTCAGGGGCACCAGAGGCCCAGCAGGGGTACCACAGGCCTTACAGGGGCACCACCGGCCTTGCAGGGGCACCTTGGGCCTGTCAGGGGCACCACAGTCCTGTCAGGGCCCAGGGGCACCAGCGGCCTAGCAGGGGCACCACAGGCCTGCCAGGGGCACCACCGGTCTAGCAGGGGCACCACCGGCCTCGCAGGGGCACCATGGGCCTGTCAGGGGCTCCACCAGCCTCGCAGGGGCACCACCGGCCTCGCAGGCATCACGGCATCACGCAGAGGCACCTTGGGCCTGTCGGGGGCATCACGGGCCTGTTGGGGGCACTTTAGGCTTGTCAGGGGCACCACAGTCCTGTCAGGTCCCAGGGGCATCAGCAGCCTAGCAGGGGCACCCTAGGCCCGCCAGAGGCACCACAGGCCTGCCAGGGTCCAGGGGCACCACAGGCCTAGCAAGGGCACCACGGGCCTATCAGGCGCACCTCAGGCTCCCGTGCCCCCCCCCCCCCCCCCCGGATCCGCCAGTGATGCCACACCACGCGAAACACCGCCAACTACCAGCTGCCGCGCCCATAAACACGTGCCAACAACAGTCTTTTTTTGAAGGTCGACTCCGCTCGCGCAACTTTTGACTGACCCTCACTGCTACCATATTGCTTCCATATTATGCTGTGAAAAGCTTTACTTAACCAAGTGGCTTAAAACCTCCATCAAGGTATATTTTCTTAGCAATTTTTCTGACGTTTTTTTGGGGGGGGGGGGCAAACAGGCCACTTTAGGCCTTTGGGGGGGGGGGGGGGCATGGCCCCCGTGGCCCCCTGGATCCGCCAGTGAGTTCAGTTCAGTTATATTTCCTCTGGCCTGCCGCCGTTGGCGATTTCGGCCGAGTTGTATGTCTTGTTGACGGCGAAGAACACTTTCAAATGGGTCCATTTGAGTTCAGCGACGGTGTTCTCGGAATGCGCAACGTTAGAAACACGAACAACAGGTCTTTTTTCCTTTTTTCTTCTTTTTTTTGTGGGCTCAATTTTTTGCCACTTTATCCCCACTTTTATCATTTTGTACACTTAATGCACACATGCACAACACGAGTTTGTAACCCGCGCCGGGCCGGGGGGTGTTTGAACACCCCCGGCCCTGCGTTTTTTTGCAGATCTCCGCGCCCGTCTATTTTGGCACTTTTCCATGCATCTTTTCCGTTGGTGCATCTTTTCCGCACATGTTGTGAAAATTTCAGGCCCAGGTCGCCTTAGGTCAGGTCACCAGGTCACGCCAAGTGACCTCACCTCAGAAAAAAATAAGAATGCTCGTCATAGCTACAGCGACTGATTAATTGCCTTGAAACTTTCAGCGATTGATTATAGCAAAATTATCTATAAAATGTAAACCTCGAAATTTTGATATCGATGACCTAAGGTCAGGTCAATTTTGCGGCCTCTCCATTATTACGGAGCGAGCGAAGCGAGCGTAGTCTTTCCTTAGATTAACGGAAATTTCTGAGTATGAGCGGCCGGCCGGCCAGCCGGCCGGCCGTGGTCACGATTCTGCGACGCTTATATCTCAGCAACCACTTGACCGATTTACACGCGGTAATTTTTGTAGGGTAGCTTCATTCCTTCTACCAAGTATTGGATTATTGCCGATGCATGTGGGTGACCCCTTATGCACGTGCCACATGCAAAACGAAGAGGTGTCACTTTTGTAATTGTTGCAATATCTCGGTAACTACTTGGCCGATTGCGCTGAAAGTTGGTATGTAGGTAGGCACCCACTAGGCAATGCATATCCATGTGCCAGAATTGAGGTGCTGCTGCACGTGCGCACGTGCAGGGGTCGATTCCAGATCTCGAGAACGGCTGGACCGATTGCGCTCAAATTTGGCACATGGTTAGGGACCGGTTAGTAGGGTGCCGTGCAAAACTCAGTTGGGACCCATTTTGAACGTGCGCACGTGCAGGGTGCCGCTTCCAGATCTCGAGAACGGCTGGGCCGATTGTGCTCAAATTTGGCACATCGCTAGAGACCGGTCAGTAGGGTGCCGTGCACAAGTCAGCTGGAGCCTGGAGGTACCTCGTCGAAATTTCGCACGTGCAAGGCTCACCCTCTCGCTCGCTCCGTTAGTCGCCCCAAAAGGCGTTATACTGGTAAGTCAATGGGAGAAAATTGAAAAGCGTTTGTTTTGCACGAACGCTATTCTAGACACTCTCAAACAGCGAGATTTAGGTAAAATTGACACACTGAACCGAAAAATGGCAACTGTGACCCCTCGTTATGTCCCCGATGTCATCTCAGGTCACGAACAGAATCTAACAGCTTTTCGCTAATAACTTCTGATATAGGCGTGCTAGAGCCCTGATAACGCCTTTGATGTGTTCGGCTTGACGTTGCGGATCGACTGATATGCAACATGACCTTTTCCGGTCAGGTCATGACCTGGACCTGAGGTCAAATTTTCAAGTTGACCTTTTAAGGTCAAATTATTGTTCATTCGACGCGTCTCGACGAGAGGAACACGATGCTGGCAAAAATAATGTCATGACGCTTTTGTGTCAAAAGTTATTGCCGAAAAAAACGTTTTTCGTAAAAACGGCTATCTTTGGAGTTTTTGCCCTCTGGAGGCTAAACCGTCGACCTGAGGTCAAATCTGAGAGCATTATTCAGAAAGGTCTGTAAAAGAGCTATCGAATGCGCTTTTCTGCGGCGCTGTAGCTCTATCGGTTCCCGAGATAGCTGTTGGCAGTTTCCAAAATGTTGAAATAGTCAACATTTTACCTTTGGTGACCTCTGGTGACCTGACCTTTGACCTGACCCAAAAATGACCGACGTGTTTTCGTCTTTATTTTGGACGTTCTTTCGATTGCCCCTTACCGCGTGTCGCTACGTGGCCCAGGAGCCGAGTAAGAAGGGGGGGGGGTATTCAGACACCCTGGCCTAAATAATACGCACCCGCACTGTCTCTGCCACCAGGGTGAGGGACCCCCTGCGCGCGAGCGCCGAGGCCTTTGCGTCGGCGCGCCTGTTTTCGGTCCGAGACTGGAGATTGCGAGGCCGCCGGAATCGCGCCGGCAGTGGAGCCGATGCTCCCCCTCGAAACCACCGTGGCACAGGGCGTATTTTAAGGGATTTTCACTGGGTCGGCAATCACATTTAGGGGCGGCATTTTGCACTCATAGGGGCGGCACTTGGCATCTGAGGGGGGCGCCATACCTACTGATATTTAATGACAAAAAAGACACGTTCGACGGTTCTTTTATAACTCTTTCTAAGTAATGATTTCAGATTCAACCTACCTAAGCTCAGCGGTATTACGTCTATTTTTCCGGGATATAACTAGTATTTCTCGTGTCATAATGCGACAAATGAACTATAATTTGACTTTACAAAAATTAATTTAAAAATTTTACCTGAGGTCAAGTTCATGAACTCACCATAAATAAAACATGTTGCATACCAGTCGATCCGTATCGTCAAGCTTAAAACATTCACGGTGTTTTATGGCTCTAGAACAGTGGTCGGCAGGTCGCACGAGTGGTGCCCACTTTATGGGCGCTGGACGGGGCCATTACCCCCACTTGTCATACCCCATTGCAAGCCCCATTGCTTACACAGCAAGGGTCGTTGATATTCGGCCATATCCTTTGACGCCTCTATTTTTCTGCATCTAAATAAAATGCAACACAATTAACTCTCTTTTTATGGAGAGGGAGAGCGGGTGGAGTAAGGATGAA